AGACTCCCCCAGCCCCCTTCTATCTGCAGTAGGCCCCAGGCTCTGGGCAAGTGCTGGACTCAGTGTCTAACCCGCTATACCCTGAACATGCTGTCCCCCAAGCCAGGCCCACCCACATCCCCTCAGGCAGCCTCGACACCACTTTCAGCAACCCCTCCCTGTGGCACTGCCTGACTCAGTGCAGCACCTGGTTCAAGTCCCAGCTCTTCCCAGCTGTGTCAGCAGAGTGAGCTTTTACCCCCCCACCACCATGCGTCCTCCTCATCTGTAAAATGGGGACAATGACAGAACCTACATCATAGGGCTGTTGGGAGGATGAAACGAATTACAGCACGTAAAGCTCTCTGTGGTGCCTGACACACTCAGCTCTTCATACTACCCAGTCTCTGAGCCCTTGCTGTCCTGCACGACCACCACTTCTTCCCCGGGCTCTGTGCTGTCACAAGCGGGCTCTTTGAGGACAAACACACGTTGGATTTGCCTCTTCATCCACTGCCCCAGCACCGTGCCTGGCACTCAGGGGCCATGAGTGACTCCACGCAGGAGCAGTGGCTGCCTGCAGAGCGATGTGGAGGGCGCAGGAATAGCCCGGGCTCAGCATCCGGGGGACTGGGATTGAAGCCCTTTCCTGCCCCTCACTGGATGTGGGACCTTTGAGAAGCCCTTTCCTGGGCTACTTGTGCTTCATCACCTGTCAAATGGGAGGGGCCGCATCCCACTCAGGATGTGAGGTGGGGACCCTGTGTGACACATGATGTGCACCCCTGTCGCCGGTAGAGGATGTGCATGGAGAGGGCCGGCAGGCTGTTGCCACGCCGCACCATGACCGGAAGAGCACAGGGGTGTTGCCGGCAGACAAAGTCCCGAGAAGCTGTTTGGCGGCTGTGACCTTGTTTTCCTGGCCCCACCTCTGCTGGTGGGTGGGGCGGGGGGAGTGAGTTACAGCAGGAACGGCAGGTCAAATGCCAGGAGGGTTGGCAGCCTGGGAGGACCCACCAGTGGCTGCAGGAAT